AAAAAAAAAAAAGGAGGAGGATTGGCAATAGATGTTAGCTCAGAGCCGGTCTTCCTCAGCAAAAAGAGGAGGATTAGCATGGATGTTAGCTCAGTGCTGATCTTCCTCTCAAAAAAACAAATAAATAAGTAAAACTGTTAAAAAAAAAAAAAAACAGGACAGTTTACAATAGCAGCAAAAACTTAAATCTAACAAAATATGTCAAGGATGTGTATGCTGAAAACTACAAATTACAGATGAAAGAAATCAAAGACAACCTAAATAAATGAAGAGATACGCTATGTTGAAGACTCCATCTTGTTAAGGTTCCAGTTCTTGCCAAATTGAACTATAGATTTAATGCAATTCCATTCAAAATCCCAGAAACCCTTTTTCGTAAAAAACGACAAGCTGATTCTAAAATTTATATGGAAAGGCAAAGGAATTAGAATAGCCAAGATAATTTTGAAAAAGAAAAACAAAGTTGGAGGACTCATACTACCTGACTTCAAGACTTAGTATAAAACTACAGTAATCAAGACAGTGAGGTACTGGAAAAAGGATTAACACACAGATCAATAGGAAGAGAAGATAGTCTAGAAATGGACCCACACATACATGATCAATTGATTTTGTACAAAGTTGCAAAGGCAATTCAATGGAAACAGGATAGTCTTTTGAACAAATGACAGCTAAAACAACTGGACAGCCACATGCAAAAATATGAACCTCAACCAATACCTCACACCATATATAAAAATTAACTCTAAATGGATCATAGACCTAAATGGGAAAACTAAAACTATAACATAGTTATAAGAAAAGTTAGGAGAAAAATCTTTGTGACCTTTGTTTCTTAAGTTTTCTTAGAGACAACACCAAATAATCCACAAAAGAAAAAAATTAATAAATTGGGCTTCATCAAAATATTAAAATTCTGCTCTATGAAAGACACTCAAAAGTATAAAGACAAGCCATACACACACACCCCCATACATATACATGACAACCACAGACTGGGAGAAACATATAATTGACAAAAGACTTGTATCTAGAATGTGTAAAGAATTCTAACATTCAATAAGAAAACAAACTCATTTTTAAATGAGTAAAAGATCTGAATAGACACTTCAAAGAAGATATGTAGATGGCAAATAAAACACATTAAAAGACGCTCAATATTATTAGACATTAGGGAAATGCAAAATTAAAATCACAATGTGCTAGTATACATCTATTAGCAAAGCTAAAATAAAAAATAACTGACAATATCAAATACTTGAATTCTCATACATTGCTGGTGGGATTGCAAAATGGCACAGCCACTTTGGAAAACAGATTAGTAGTCTGTTAGAAAGAAAAAGAGTTTCTTGGGCCGGCCCCGTGGCTTGGCGGTTAAGTGCGCGCGCTCCACTGCTAGCGGCCGGGGTTCAGATCCCAGGCGCGCACCGACGCACCGCTTCTCCAGCCATGCTGAGGCCACGTCCCACATACACCAACTAGAAGGATGTGCAGCTATGACATGCAACTATCTACTGGGGCTTTGGGGGGGAAAAAAATAAATAAATAAAATATTTAAAAAAGAAAAAAAAGAAAAAGAGTTTCTTTCTCACCACACACACTTACCATACAACCCAGCAATCACATTACTACGTATTTACTTAAGAGAAATGAAAACTTACACTAATAAAAAACGTCTATGTGAATGTTTATAGTAGCTTTATTCATAACACCCAAAACAACCCACATGTCCTTCAATTGGTGAATGGATAAATAGTGGTACATCATTACAATGGATTACTATTCAGTAATAAAAAGGAATAAACTACTAATAGATGCAATAACACGGATAAATGTTGCTATAGACTATGTCCACCTCAAAATTCATATGTTGAAATCCTAAAGCACAATGTGATGGTATTAGAAGGTGAGGCCTTTGGGACATGCTTAGGTCATGAGAGCGGGGCCCTCCTGAAAGAGATTAGGGCTCTTATAAAAGAAAGCCCCCCAAGAGACCTACCTTGCCCCTTCTGCCATGGGAGGTTACAGTGAAAATATGGCCATCCATGAACCAGGGAGTGGGCCCTCATCAGACACCGAATCTGCCAGCACCTTGATCTTGGACTTTCCAGCCTCCAGAGAAATAAATTTCTGTTGTTTATGAGCCACCCGGTTTACGTTATTTTGTTATAGTAGCCCCAACAGACTAAGACAAATCCCAGATGCAGTATGCTCAGTGAAAGAAGCCAGACAAAGACCATATAATTCCATTTATATGACATTCTGGGAAAGGCAATACTATGGAAATGGAAAATAGTTCAGTGGTTGCCAAAGGCTAGAGGTATGAAGGATTGACTACAAAGGGCACAAAGAAATTTTGGAGGTGATGAAACTGTTCTATACCATGAATGTGGTGGTGGTGATGACAATGATATGACTACATGTTTGTCAAAACTCATAGAGCTATACACCAAAAAGGACATAAATTTTACTGAATGTAAGTTATACCCCAATAAAAAAACTGAAGGTAAACACCAAAAGAATAGAAAAATAATAACTAACTTTCAAACTAGCTGAGGAAAACATAGAATAAAGAAAGGCACAAAAGGAGTGGTCAAGCACTATAAACAGAAATAAATAAGATGGTAGAAATATGTCTAAATATGTCAGCAATCATAATGAACATAGATTAACTTACCTGTTACAAGATACTCTCAAATTGAATAAAGCAAATCCAGCTGTATGCTTAAAAGATAGACCTAAAACAAAATAACATCAAAATATGAAATTAATTAAAATAAAGGCATGTTAAAACCTCCAAGCATGATTCCATGAGCTCAAAGCTTAGTGACATCTTATCCTCAAGACACAGATCTATACTTATATATTCTAAGATTTCAAAGCGCTTTTTTATTGCATGTTATCATTTTTTTTTAACCTCAAAAATTAAGCCAGATCCTCGGCTCTTAGGTGCACTCATTCAATAAGTTACCTATTTCCTCCACTAAAATTTAAAGAACACAGTACTGGCCGGCCCCATGGCTTAGCGGTTAAGTGAGCGCACTCCGCTGCTGGTGGCCCGGGTTCGGATCCCGGGCGCGCACCGACGCACTGCTTCTCCAGCCATGCTGGGGCCGCGTTCCACATACAGCAACTGGAAGGACCTGCAGCTATGACATACAACTATCTACTGAGGCTTTGGGGGTAAAAATAAAATAAAATAAATAAAATTATAAAGAACACAGTACTGACAAATGGACCTAGTATAATTTGCAAAGGTGTCAGTCATTAAGTAAACTGAAATCAGGACGAAGAGTACTTTCAGTAGAGTTATAAATTAAGTGAATTTTCAAGTATAATGCCACAATTACAATTAAGTTGTTTGCAGAATGTTTTGTACTATAAATCACTCCGGATACAGTATAGAGCCCTAACTATTACATGCAGCCATATTACACAAACCCTATTTTCTACCTGAACCTGTTAAATACTAGGAGATAATACTGTTGATACTTCTAGGAGGAGGAAGCAACCAGTAAAAAGGAAAAAAAACTGACCGGTTGGGTATTGAAAAGGTCACGGCTGGACAGAAAATGAAATGAACAAGGATGAATTTCAGGGATAGTAATCCTATATCCCAGCAGGTACAGCTGTATAGAGAACTGAAGGTAAGAGTTTGCTGAAAATAAAAATTAAAATCTCTTATTTGTAAGATTTTAAACTTTTTTCAAAATACTTTTAGATGCTTAATATTATCTAAACCTCAAAATAATAATTTATGATAGAAAGAGTAGGTTTGTCATCTATTTGAGAGAGAATGAAACTGAAGCATGAAGATTAGGACATAAAGATCATACCTAGTAGCAGATGCAGAACTAGAACATAAATTCTGCCAATCTCCATTCCTATACCGTTTTTAGACCCTGTTGACTTAAGCAAAAAGAGAAAAGAAAGCCAGGCCCTCATTTACGTATAAAACTCATTCATAAATGGCCATTCTATAAGAGCACTACACTGCTATTATAATGAACAGACTTTTCTCAGATTTCATTTAAATAACAAGCTCCCCTAGTGCACTCTCAATTATTTCATTTAAAAAGTCAAATAAAACAAAAACTTGAACATCACCTACTCCATCTATCTTTGTAACAGTGTCAAAACTAGTGTTATGATTAAGTACTACTTTTCCTGTTGCTATAACACTACTAAAATACCACATAAAATAAGTCTTAAATTTTTTAAATATTACAAACATATTTTAAGGCTTATGTGTCTGTTTATTTTTAAATTTTTTATTTATTTCAAACATGCACTTCCTTGTTTGTGCTGTTGAACACGGCAAGTGACAAAATTCCTTTGAAATGAGGGCTAGCCCTGCGGCCTAGTGGTTAAGTCTGGCATGCTCTGCTTCAGTGGCCCAGGTTCGGTTCCCAGGCGCAGCCCTACATCGCTGGTCGATGGCCACACTGTGGTGGCGGCCCACATACAAAATAGAGGAAGATTTGCCACAGATGTTAGCTTGGGGCGAATCTTCCTCAACCAAAAAGAGGAAGATTGGCAACAGATATTAGCTCAGGGCGAATCTTCCTCAGCAAAAAAAAAAAGAAAGAATTCCTTTGAAATGACAGTTGGGACAAATTCTGAGAAACACTACTCAGTGAATCACAACTAAATTGTTCTATTAGTGTGTGGCAGTTCTAATTAATAATTCACTCCAAGGACTACCCTCTAGGATTTGAATCTCTACTTTTGGAGCTAACTGATGTACTATAATTTTATAATAATGTTATCATAACTAGGCAAAGAAAAAAATTCCAATGACTAAAACCTTAAAAGATAATTAAGACATTTTTTAAACACAGCAAATGTGATAAGAGATACTTAACATTGTTCAAGGACTCAAATACAGCTAATCACAAATATTTTATCAAAAAGTCAAGAACTCTGGGGAAAAAACTGACTGCTACATGCACATTACACAGAATTCTTCATGTAACAGCAAAATAAGAAGAGTGGTGGGTATATTGATCTGAGACATGGATACAGTCCCCACAACTGCATATTTATAACAATTGCAATAAAAAGATGATTGTATGTATAACAGGATGTTTTCCTACAGGTTAGAAAGAAAAGTTGATTACAAATTTTAATTAAACAGAAAAGCATTATCACGTGGGATCTATATTATAAAGTTTAGACTGTTTCAATAACCAAGCTCCTTAATAATTTAGTAAATTGTATTACTTGCGCCTAGTCCTTCAGAGAATCCCCAAGGTTTCTGTTATTCCCTTTCTTGAGAAATTGAGTAACCATAGTCACTGCAGGTAGAAGCAACTCAGAGGGGAGGCATCAGCTAGGGCAGCAGAACTTCCCATCTGCTCATACACAAAAGACAGCCCCCGATCCTCAGGAACATCATTGTCCAAGAAAAGAAAAATATGGAAAAGTATATGTTTTCTAAATTGTACATTAAGAAATGTTCATACCATATGATCTACTTCTTTTACTTTCCAAAATTAATCTTAAGAAAACAGTCAGAAATGAGGACAAAGATTTATGTGCTAGAGTGTTTAGCGTTGTTTGTATAGAGTGGAAAAAACAAAAACAATGTAAATGGTCAACAGAAAAAAAAATTAAATATATTACATTTGATCCATGAAATGGAAGGTTATAGAGTCTTTAAAAAAACATTTTTAAGGACTATTTAATGATATGAAAACATGTTCATATTTTGTTAGGAAAAAGGCCAGATATAAAACTACATACTTTTTAAGCCCCATTAATTTTATAATCACACACACAAAAAAATTTTTTTTAATTCTTTGACATTTTGTGCATGCTAAACTTGGCTGGCCACGATAATCTATTTTCTAGATCATGACTGCAGGAACCGAGCAGAAGAGAATAGAGTGTGAAAATTCTATTATTCACCACTAAGACTTAGGCATATTTGATTTATAAATTAATTCTCAGTCAGCCTTACGTATTCCAATTTTTTAAAAAATAGAGAGGTACCATTCTTTTGGACACTGTATGTGGCATTCAACCAACAGCTGAGACTTAAAAACACTAACAAATACTTAAATCATAATCACTCCATGTTTCCACTAGCTTCATCTAAAATACAAAGGTAAGTCTGTGTTTTAACTCATTGGGGACGACTTCAAGGTAATCCCAGAATTTTGAGAAGGTACTCTCTGAAAAGTAGAGAAAAAAATTTACATTTAATGACTGAAATAAAAGGGCCGCCCCGTGGATTAGCGGGTAGATGCGCACGCTCCACTGCGGGCGGCCTGGGTTTGGATCCCAGGCGCGCACCAACACACCGCTTCTCTGGCCGTGCTGAGGCCTCGTCCCACATACAGCAACTAGAAGGATGTGCAGCTATGACATACAACTATCTACTGGGGCTTTGGGGGAAAAAATAAATAAATAAAATTATTAAAAAAAAAAAGAAGTAATCAGCAGGGCTGTTTGTGGATCCTCCACAACCTAATGTAAGGAAAAGACAGAGAATAGGTTTAGGAGTTTGAATCTCACCTCTGCTGTGTGACCTTAGACATGCTCCTTAACTTCTCTTAGTCTTAATTTCCTCATCTATAAAACAAAGATAACCACAATTTACTCGAAGAACTGTAGTAGATATTAAACCGACAGCAGAAGGTCTGGTACATAGCGGGGAACTCAGAAAATTGTAGTTATATTTTTTTTTTTTGAAGGGGGAAGACTGGCCCTGAGCTAACATGTGTTGCCAATCTTCCTCTTTTTTTTTTTTTCCTTTTTTCTCCCCAAAGCCCTCAGTATATAGTTGTAGGTCCTTCTAGTTCTTCTATGTGGGACCCACCTCAGCATGGTTGATGAGCGGTGAGTAGGTCCGCGCCCAGGATCCAAACTTGTGGAAGGCACGGACCACGAGAACTTAACCACTGCACCACCGGGATGGCCCCTAATATTTTAAATAATCATCCAGCTGGCTAGTGACAGTCTCAATTATATCAGCTTATCTAAAGTAAATCCTATAGCTAAGTAATACCAGCTCTAAATTCATTGCAAGTCCAAGATGATCATACAATTAATTACACAAAACAGGAGCCAGTGAATGGATCGATCGAGTTGGCAAGTCCTTCAATGAGCACAGGTATAGTTTGGTTGAAAACAGAGGATGAAAGGATGGTGAAAAGACAGCCTTTCCCGTTATTTAAAGAGTAAACCCAAAAAGCAAATTAAAAGAGGTAAGGAAGAAAACAAGCGGAAAAAGAAAGGAAAAAGAAAACTATCCAACAATGGCATCTAGAAAAGGGAAGTAATGGCTTTCACCAGTTGGGTCCAGTCAGAAGTCAGTAAAATTGGGAGGAATAAGTTCTTAGATAGGGCTGCTTACTTTGCATGCCTGCTCATCACTCATCGCTGTTTATTAAGGCAGAAAACGATGGCTGCAACAGAAATACTAGATTGAAAGAAAGCATCATTATTATCACAGTACCCCTATACGTGCCTATTAGTGTTAGTGAAATATCCCAGGCTTTAAATGACAGATTCAATTAAATGTTGCTAATCCTGACTGACAATTAAATCTTTATAATCCAAGTATCCCCAGCCCCTACATAAACTCATCAATTCTTGGTTAACATTTAATAAAAATCTGGTATCAGAGAACCAAATACCCTAAAAACAAAATGTGAGTTAAGTTTTACCTCCCAACAAAGACTGTAATACACTCTTCATGGTGGAGGTCACTAAAAAAAAAACTGTATTACTAATTAAAGAGAACTTTTATAAACTCCACAATCCCAGACACTATACTCTAACAGTATTTGTCAACTACCCTCCCAGCCAGTAAATGTTGGTGCTTCATGAAGTTCTCATTTCCCCCTAACATGAGTTTTATTCCAAATTAGGCAAGTAAAAGATAATGGATGGATCCAATCACAGCCATTAAAAAAAAATGCTGGTTACATCTATTTGCAAATTATTCAAGAGAGAAATCAAGTTACAATGGAATGAATCAGCACAAATTCATCATTGCAAAAAAAAATATGTATTCTGCTAATGGTGGATTTAGCCTTATATATAAATTATAACATTTTTATGTTTCAACACGAGTTTAGGGTTGTGCGTGAAGGCTGGGAGTTGAAGGACCAGGATGTGGACATCAGGTACTAACAGGCCTGCCGATTTCCCAGGTTTGTCACCGAATCGGAGTGACCTTCCGTGCCTTAACAAAAAAAATCATCAAAGCTTGGCACAGGGGCCTTAAAAGTAACCGAACACAAAGCAAGTATAAACTGAATACGCTAGAACGGTAACATATTTGAGGCGAAGTTTTTCGTCTGTTTTAATCTCTGCGTAATCCCCTGACACGTGGTAAACGCTTTAAAGAGTTGAATGAAAGGAACGCGGATGTTTACAACGTGTTCTGCGATTTGCATTCATTTTAGGAGATGAATGAACTTCCAGAATTTTTTCTTAGTACTTAGTACTTCCAGAAAATTTTCAGATAAACTGCAGCGACACACTACAGAATACTCGTGTCACAGGCCTCATGAACAAAAAGAAACAGAAACGAATGAAAGGTCTCTTCAGAACGGAGAGTCCCGTAGAGACGCCTGGGCTCTCCCGCGCGTCCCGGCTCAGGTCGGACCCAAAGAGGACAAGTTCTCCAGGCTCTCCCGCAACAGCCCGGCCGACCGGCCCGCGTTTCCCGGGATCCCGCCCGAGCAGACGGCGGATTGTGGGCCGCGAACCGCCAGCCGCGCCCCTGCACGGGCCACGCCTGAGGGGCCTGCGGCCCGTTACAACAGCGGGTTTCTGCGGCGTGGGCCGGGCCGGCAGGCGGGCAGGCTGCACTTACCGCCGCGCAGCTCGCCCCGCAGCCGGCAGCCCGGGCAGGAGCGGGGATTCCGGGCAGGGAAGGAGACGCGAGTACGGACTGAGGAAATGGGGGCATTCGTCTGGGCCTAGGACCGACCTGGGCGGGGCCGCCTTCCCCTCGCGCAACTGCAGTTCCTGGGCCGCGCGACTGTGAGAACGGGAACAGCCGCGGCGCGCGCCCTAATCCTTTTTTGCCTCTTCCCGCCCGATTTGCCGCGCGCTCATGCCCCTCCTCCAAACTCAAAAGACTCCTTCGGGCCTCGAAAACGCCCCTTTGCCGCCCCCTCCCTGTGCGCGTGAACGAGACAGCCTTTAGGTCTCGCGAGAGGCTTTTCCCCTCCCCCCAGTCAGTGAATGCGCGAACGAGAAAGGAGGAGGGCGCTCCAGGCGAAAGCACTGCAGACGCCATTATCCTCTGTTTCTCTGCAGCACCGAGCTCGACGTTTTGACTTCGTCCCGCTTATTTGCGGCCTATAGGTAATTAGGGTTGTTGGGGTTTGGGTATTATGGATTCAGGCAGGGGTTTGGCCTCCCTAAAGGCTGCGTTAACTTTTCCCAATGCCGGTTTTTCTCGGGCCCTCAGTGGTCTTTACAGCCTGAAGGGAGGCGCCGGCGGGAGGCGGTGCGGTCGCCTCCTCCGACGCCTTGATTGACGCGGCCTTGAGCCAGTCGCTTCGTCCTCGCGCCACCGCTGCGGCCCGGACAGCCAATCGGGCGCGGCGGCGGGGTAGGAGAGTGCGAGGAGGCGGGGGAGGGCGGTGGGGGCCTGAGCTCGTTCTCCGTCTAGCTGTGACCGGCTGAGGCGGCGCGGCGGCTTAGGGACCCGGGCCTCGCGCGGTGAGGAGCGGGGCTGGGCGAACGGCGCGTGGGGGCGAGGGTCGGAGACCTACTTTTCCGCTTGTGGGAGGCGTTTGGGGGCTGATTGGTGGTTGGCCGGTGCTCCGAGAGGGAACGTTGCCCGGTTTCCCCTCCCCCACCTCCGCCATTTCCCTGAGCGTATATCCGCAGTCCGCCTGGTGGTATTGGAGGCTTGGGGGCATCGCTAGGCAAGTGCCTCTCGGATGAGCTGTAGTTTTGTAGTCTCGGGAACTAGGCTCCTTGTGTGGGAAGGAGAAGGAGCCGGCGGGCGGGACCGAGGGCGGTAGAGGACGCCGCCGTTCTCTTTGTGTGGGTCCCGCCGCACTCGGGCGCTCACGGCCTGGCTTTGGAGCTGGAGCGGGGGAGATGGAACGGTCGGGGCTGCCTCCGTTGCTTTGTTTCTCCCGCAGTGGGGGGAGGGTGCGGGGGATGAGATCGCGGGACCGCGTGGTGGGTGGGGGAGGGTGTCCGCGCTCGGCTCCGCCTAGTCGCACGTAGTCGCCATTACGCGGGCCGCCATTTCCTGTCGGATCCTGGTGAGGAGCGGTGCGGCGCTGCTTGTCTCGCCTCTGGCTTGTTCAGCTCCGGTTACTTGGCCGTTGGCGATCCTGGTACCGGGCGTGGGGAGGGGAGGACGTGTTTGCGCCTGGCTGGTCGCGCGCCTATTTAGCGATTTTCGTGGTCTCAGGAAGGGTGACTAAAGGAAAGGACCTGAGGGACGAACCGCGGCAACGTTATCCTTACCAGTAGACCCTGCTGTTTGTCCTTCAACTCGTTGATCCAAATCTTCCACCATACTCAAGTGCTTAAGTGAGTGATGGGCCAGAAGGGTAGCGTTTCAGTTAGTCGTTAGAGTGGATTATCGACAAACGTTATGGGAGAAAGAGAGGCATAAATGTTGCCTTGGTTTTTAGTTCTAGGCTGTCCAGCTATCCAGCTTCTAGCAGGGGCCTGGTGTGGCCTCCTTGTGCCAGTCATGAGAGGGAAGCTGAAGGGCTGTTTGCAGTCTCAGCACCAGTCTGGTATTCGAGGTATAATTGTTAGGTTGTATCTTTTTTTAGCCTAATTAAAAATATCTCGCTAGTGAAGGTGTTAGCGTTTTCAAGGGCTCCCTTCGCTCTGTTGAATAATCCAGTAGTACTGGCAGTTTGGTTCTGTCCTTGTTATCAAGTTTTGAGATTTCTCTCTCCAGTAGATTGACCGATTATTGTATATGGCTTGAATTTGCCTTTATATTTGTAAACTTCTGAGATTTCAGAGAATAGCATTTTAAGTCACCGATGGGAAGAAAACTAAAAGCTATTAAAAATTCCAACATAAAACTAATTTTGTGTCTCTCTTCATAAATTTATATTTTCGGGGACAAAATTGAGACTCGTGGGCTTATATGCCTTCCATGCCTCTGGTCTTCTACGTATTTATGGTATATAATAATTAGTTGCCCAGGTGGGACTTGGATCCACTGCCTGAAAATCAGTGCTTTTCCTTTTTCAAAAAATCGGGTATGATCCTTTGGATTTTGTTTTTAAGGGAATCATTTGAAAGTTTAAGACTCTAAAACAAAGAAGCAAGTTTAAGAACTAGCTGTTTAATTTGTTGTGTTCAGATCAGACTTCATTAGTATTCAGTAATGAGCAACCAAAAAGGCAAAACTGATTTGTGTTGGTTTTTATAGGCTACTGCAGCGCTAGGGTGTCAGTTGGTCCTGCCCAGAACACTTCAGTTCTGCTCTGCAAGGATATATAATAACTGGTATGTTCCAGAAGTAATAAGAGTCATTTCTTTGCTTTTTTTTAATATTTAACAAGATGTGCAGCTTACTTTCCAGTAAGCCAAATGTACTAGCCTCTTTCTTTTTCAGCAGATTGGTGTGTCCATTTAATACAAGAAAATGGAAACTGAGCAGCAGGAGGAAACCTTCCCCAACACGGAAACCAATGGTGAATTTGGTGAGAAGACATTTTAATTGTAACAATTTTATATTTTCCATTCTATTAATTTCATTATTACTTTATGGTTGTGAGTTTAGTCTGAGATAACCTGTCAGTAACATCTTGGCTTTTATTTAGGGACTAAAAGTAAACCATTTGTATAGGTAGCCGTAAACTAAAGTTGAAGATAAAAAAAAAAGAGAAAGCCAATAAATATTAAAATACCACTTCCTTGCGTTTTGGCATTTCTGATCCTTAGAAATGTTTTGTCACAGTAGTTTGTGTTTAGAAAATGTTATTGGAAGGGAACATGCTTTTATTCACACTTAGAAGTTTTAAGAAGTTCAAGAATATGAGTGCGTTTGACCTTTCTAAAACATTTGAGGTTAGGAACAAATTTTTTCAGAACAGAATGGAGTTCTTTTCTCTATTTTAACCTGTGGGTTAAAACTAAAATAATTAAAGGTGCCTTTTCTTGGCGATGTTGGTGCTTTCTTTGATATCTGAACTGTTGATTTCTAGGTAAACGCCCTGCAGAAGATATGGAAGAGGAACAAGCTTTTAAAAGATCTAGGAACACTGATGAGATGGTTGAATTACGTATTCTGCTTCAGAGCAAGGTATAAATGTTATTATTGAAAATTTAGAAGTGGTTCTTCCTCAGCTAGAAATGAACACGTGCTGGTTTGGTCCTCTGGGAAGCCTTAGAAGTCTTAAAGTTTGAAGAATATAATCGATTTGTGTGGCTCTTTATAAGCAGACTTGTAGGCCATGGTGGTTATTTTGCTAACAATTAAAATGAAAGCCCTTAATGAGTGTCGTATAATGACATTTCAGTCAACAATGGGCCAAATATATGGCAGTGGTCCCGTAAGATTAGTACCAGATAGCCTAGGTGTGTGGTGGGCTATACCATTTAGGTTTGTGTAAGTACACTTATGATCACACAAAGACAAAGTCGCCTAATGACTCCATTTCTCAGAATGAATCTCTGTCACTGTCATTGAGTGACAAATGATTATAGTGAGCCACTACAGGTCAAACAAGGAGAAGGGTGTGGGCGATCCTTAAAGCAGTAATGGGTTAAAGATTATATCTTGATTACATTGTGGATTCATTAGAAAATGTCTTGGTTGGCAGCTTGCTTGGTTAATATCACGTATTAGGAAGGTACCTCCTAATATTTAAATAGATTGTTTCACAGAAGGGTACTGTAAAATTAAGCAGTGCTGAAGTTATATACTCAATGTATTTCTGGCATTCTGAATACTCCAAAGCTCTGTCTTGGTGTTTAGTTCTCCAAGCAGTGGACTGTTGGTTTTTTGGGTTTGTTTTTCACTTGATGGTTTGGATATCCCCAAGTAGATTTTCAGTCCTATAACAGAGGTTAGAGAATTTTTTTGCTAAAGCCTAAGCGCATAGACATTAGTTTTAGAAAAAGGCAAAATAAGTTTCTTGTCTTTTTACTTTCTCCAGAATGCTGGGGCAGTGATTGGAAAAGGAGGCAAGAATATTAAGGCTCTCCGTACAGACGTAAGTATTAAAGAGTTTAAACTACACAAGCAGCTTCAGTTTATGTGTTTGTAGAAGTTTAAAGGTTTACATCATAGAAATCATTTAGTAGTTTTAGATACAAGCCATTTGTAATAATCGATTGCATAGATAATTTCAAGGTTTGCCGTTCCTGATTTAACAAAGCTCAGACTGAGTTGGAGGGGGTTATATTAAACCTCTTCACTTTCTAATAACTTGCCACCAAATTATTCACTTCAAGCAAGATAACACCTTAATTGGAATAACTGTAAAAGCCCTAATTGCACCATTTCTCATGTGTTTGAAGCAGTTACAGTGTAACTGAAAACCATTGTAGGTGGCTGATAAAACTTGTTTTTATTTATTTTTTCTTTGTAAAGAAAAAATTGTCCATCTGTTCTTTAACGCTTGCACATGGAGCACAAAGAAAGTAATGTTGAGGTTGCATGATTTAAATATGGGTAAAGAATAGAGTAGGGACTTAATCTTAAAATTGGAAAATTGTTTGTCAATGCCAATGATTTGTTTGAGTCTTCATATTTTATAGTGGGTTGACTCTTGTGATTAGACACATTAAATGTTAGTATCACCAGAGGTGAGCATATTTATAGGACTTGGCTACACCAAAATTCCTAAATTTTTTTCTCATAGTGTACATACTCTTTTAATGTTTTCGTGCTCAGTAGAGGCAAATAATAACTTTGTGTTGAATACTTATTGGATAGTATTTCATTTCTCTCTTGGTCGCAGATCTTTGTATGTTCCTCTTGATTACTGTAAACTGAACTTGAAAATTTGTTTAAAATTTTACAAACTTGCTTGTTAGGATCTAGGAATGCGTTTTAAACCTCCAGGAAACCAAACTAGTCTTTTAAGAGTTAGGGTTTTTTGGTGGTGTGGGAATTTTTGTTGTCTTTTATAAACCTCTCTCCTCTAATCCAGATGTTCTGTATAATTATCTGGGTTATTA